AAAACCTGGCCAAAAAAAAAAAAAAAAAAAAAGAAAAGAAAAAAGAACTATTTAAATATGTCACATCCTGGTGGGCAGGTGGCATGGTGGTTAAGGGCACTGGACTCCCACATGGCTGACCATGGTTCGAGTCCCGGGCCTGGCAGCTTGCTTTTCTCACTTTCTCTCTCTCTGGTCAAATTAAAATAAAGTTAAATAAAATAATTCTTAAAGAAAAAATCACATCGGTAGTATGAACTATTAGGCAACTGGGAGATGTTGATTAGTGGAAACAAGATTGCAACTGGAAGGAACAATGTCTAGTGTACAATATACAGTGTGTGTGTGTGTGGAGGGGGGTGAGGCAGCCCTTCAGCCTAGTGGTTAAGGGAGCCACATCCTACATGGGCAACTATGGTTCAAATCCTGGCCCCAATGACTTGAAAAACATGCCAGGGCCAGCAGATGGCATAGCGGTTACATTGGTGGACTCCCACATGGCTTACCGTGGTTCAAGTCCTGGACCTGATTGCTTGAAAATCACACTGGGTGCTTGCGCATGTGTGCCCGAAATCCTGGGAGGAGAATGGAGGAGAAGGGATTGAGCCATCACCTCCCTTGGAGGGGTGATTTCTCACTTTCCCTCTCACTGTTTCTGTCTCTCTCTCCAGCTAGCACATGCACCCTAAGGCAAATACTTCTTAAAAAAAAAAAAAAAAAAGAAGAGGGACCAACAGTTGGTATAATGGGTATGTCACTGGACTCCCATGTAGTTGACCATGGTTTGAGTCCCAGACCTGGGGGCTTAAACTCAGGCCAGGCGCGTGTGCGTGCATGCCCAAGATCCCGAGAGGAGAATGGAGCAGAAGGGATTGTGGCATGGCCATCCCCCCTGGGAGGTGATTTTTTGCTTTCTGTCTCTCTGTCTCTCTCTTTCTGGTGCATGCATGCGCCTTGTAACAAAAACCTCTCAAAAAGAAAGAAAGAGAAAGAAAGAAGGAAAGGAAAACATACCAAGTGCATATGTGTAGAGGTTCCCCAAATCCCAACAGGACAGAGAAATGGAAGAGAAGGATTGGAGCATGACCACGCCCCATTGGGGGATGCATTCCTTCCTCTGTCTTTCTATCTTGCTCATGCAAGCACCTTCTGGCAATAAAAAATAAAAACAAAATAAAATAAAAACAGCGGGACAGTGT